TCTCTCTCTCTCTCTCTCTCTCTCTCTCTCTCTCTCCCCTTGAGAATCTTGACTCTGAATACATCCGCTGCTACTCAGCTCTATCCCTTCTACTAACTTGTGTGGCTATGGCCACCCTCCCTGTCAGTGCAGCGCTGCCCAGCAGGGCTTTCGCGCCCATGCTACTTGCAGATAGGGCACAAGCGCTTCAGTAGCACTTCCACACTTCTCATGAATGAGCAATCTCCCCGAAATGTGGCTGGCCAGTCCTTATATTGACTTGGACTGAGCCTCAACTCCTCCCAGCCTCTGCTTCCTTTGGCTTGACTTGGACCCGGCACCACATGCCCACGGCCTGCTTGCTTCAGAATGTCAAGGCCTGGTACTTTTCCCGAATTTTCATTTGTGTGCTGCTGCTTGTGTCTGTGAGTCACGACTTTTCGTCTGTGGAACATGACTTTTGACTGTGGGTTGTGACTCTTGCCTCTGGGACACTACTTTGCCGGGAGAAGTGTCCTTCGCCTAGGGGACATGACTTTTCAATATGAGACGTGACTTTTGCTTACAGAATGCAACTTTGGCCTTTGGGATGTGACTGTTTACAGGGTGCCTGTTGGACTTGACTTCTAAAGGTACCTGGCTGTGACCTTTCTGAACTGGCCGACTTGGCCTCCCTTTGCTTGAGACCTTGACCCTGAAATTCGAATTTGGGGTCTGCATTGCGGAATGCCTTTCATCTGCTTCTGATTGTCTTTCTCTGTTGGTGACATTTGATGTGGCGTTTTGCTGTGTGTGGTAGGCCATCAACAAAAGTTTAAGCTCCCTGGGTGATGTCATCTCAGCAATTGCAAACAAAGAATCACATATCCCATACAGAAACTCGAAGCTAACATATTTACTGCAGGTGAGTGTCGCTGAAATCACACTGTCCATCATTACTTTTCCCCTGTTCAAGATCTGTCATGGGCGTATTAAGTTACTTTTAACTGATGCAGAAGTTTTAGGGGGTGATTGGGTAGAGTTCCTTGTAGATCATCTGTGCTTTGTGAATTTCACTTCTCCGACATTGCCAGTCATGATGCTTTCCCAGTCCTGGTTGATCTGAAGTCAGTCATATCATGTGCAGCAAATCACGTGTGCGGCTAGGCTACCAGCCGCGCCCCCCGGGTCACCTTGTTTTCCAGGGCCGCCCAGCCGTGCAAGGGCCAAAGAAGGTCTCAGCAAAAAAAAAAAAAAAACCTGAAAAAATATCTACGTTATGCTTACTGGTCACATCGAAATTCTTTACCAAATTTAAAATAAAGCAGGGCTGCACCGGCCACCGGCCGGTTGGACCGGACCGGACCCAACCGGGCCGGTTGGAACCCCGGTGGTCCAACCGGAATTCCGGTTGGGCCCAAAAACGGGTCAATTTTTTTTTTTTTTTTTTTTTTGATGATGGGGTTGGACTG